AACGAAGCAGGTGATTTATAACTGCTTGTTCGGTCTTTCAGGCCTCGTTTTAAAAGACTGCAAAAGTAGTTACAAGACTATAAAAAGAGTTTTGTCGATATGCAAGAAAGTTTAACACAGTCTAGATGGGTGTATAGGTGTGCATACTGAACAAAAATGGCGTTATACGAATAACATATTTATCAGATAGTATCAGAAAAATCGACTAGATTCAGTATTTCTTAAAAAGTGTACGGTTCGTTAGTATGTAGAAGTTTAACCTTCATCAAGTATATACATTAGGCCCCGATTTATTCTCTATATATAGGCACGAGCTTATCTTTTCAATGTATAACCACACCCCAACGCATACCCATTCAGGAATTTATAAATATTGATATTCGCGTTGTATCGAGGCTGAAAAACATGGCACGAAAATTAATAAATCGCATTAAGGTGATAATATACAGTGCACGTATATGCTCGGGTAAACGTACAAGAGTATCAGTAGCAGATTTACATCTAATAAGATCAAAACCCAACGTGTTTATAACTTTGGCATTTTGTAGGTGACTTTAAGTCTGTGCAAGGAAAATTTTATACGCATTTTTAAATAGGAATTATTTGATTTCGAACACAAAATTTTAAACTATCAAAATTACGTCAAATAAGAACGTTTAAGAAAATGTAGAGTGAGTGGTATTGCAGTGATTTATGGATGATTAACTAAATTTACAATAGAAAGCGAGAAAGTTCTAGTATCCTAACAAATGACATGGCCCAATTGATCTTACCTGAATATGGTTGTTTGTCATTTGGGCTGCTCGTTTTACATACTTACTCTTAACATGTTATCTGTTTTGCAAGTATGACCAACGCTACTAACCAGAAGTGTGGAGTATTCACAATGAGTTGTAGGCGAACACGTGGCATGCTAAATGTATATGCAGGGTTGTATTCGAGACAGATATGTCACATTTGAACAGATTAAATATTTAATTCCTAATTGGTGTAAACTGAAAAAAAAGGTTTGACATTGATGGTAATGAAGCCATATATCTATTATTTAGAATGGAACCTGCTGTCGACTTTATATCGAAGAGAAAATGTTAGTAATATTGAATATATTAAGCATATTATTTAGTGATCATGAAAGAGCTATTTTAATATTTCTGGCGTCATCGACAACGTCATCAAATACTAAAATATCGTTTTTTAATTGTACATTTTGGAAACGTGCGTGAAACAGAATAGATGGTATCGGTGTAATTGGCTTGTTATGTTACTGGACATGGCTATAGTCATTACTACTAGAATATGTAGCAAAAAGTATGCGATATAACCGTAATTTGGATCTTTCATGAGATAGAAACTTTACAAGTGGATTTCTATTCGATCAACATGGAATTCATGCGTGTTGACAAGCCTGATGTACCAATTGACCGTGTCTAAGCCCCAGTACGACCATACATTAAAATGAAATCTTTTTTAATAAAAAAATCAACAAAATCGCATGTGAGAATTGATTGATTTATTATTATGAAAGACTAAATTTTATTTAGAAAGACGGATCTTCAATAAAAAAGACCTACTAGGGCTGGCTTCAAGATTGTAGCTTTCAGGTCAGTCTCAAATAGGCTACTTGTAATTTTACACCAAATCGTTATATTTGTACTTTTCTTTCTTTTTTCCATAATTTTTCTCCCATAAAAATAGTCATTTTTATTAAGTGTTTAAAAAGTCGTATTTCATATTATTAAAAACAAGATAAATCTGCACATAGAAGGAAAGAGCCAAAAAAATGGATAGGTCAATTGAAAACAAAACGTTTCAATAACTCAAAACAAAATAACGCTAATTCTCCTGCAGTTCAAACAAATAAAATCAGCAAAAATCTGACAAAATGAGTTTTGTTTTTCAAAACCAAAAGCGCAATATTTTAATTACCATTGAGTTTAGTGTGTAATTTTCTCCGTTAACGCTTTTCTGGTGTTGTTTACGTGTTTGCGAATTATCTATTCTCCTGTTACGAGCATGCTATCTATTATGTCGTCATCAAAAACATTACGACAAGGGACTCCCAGACACCGACTTCCAGACATTAGGAAGTACAATGCATGTTTTTACAAAAAATATATCATATATACCAGCTATGCAATTTAACTTATCTATCAGCTCATATTATTTGTCATAATTAATATGATTCAGAATTTATACTAAAAAAATAAATAAAATCCCACGCGCGTGAATTCGCGGCCCTTCACTCGTACAAGATCATTTAGGATGAAAGGAAATTTATCGGACTGTCCGGTCGTGACAAACAGTTGTTGTTCAATGATCAATAATGTATTTTTTCTGGTTTTGGTCATAATTGGTTGGACACGTTTGATACCCATGCAGGGTATGACTACAATTTCCATGAGCGAATTGTTTAGTAACAATGACTTTTTTTAATGTATTTTTATCAGTTTCCAAAATTTCCCCTGATGTATCGATTTCTTTTTCACTTTCTTTGCCCACAAACTGACCAATGTATTTCTTTAAAGTATCAATGTCCAGTAATAACTTGAACAAGTGGTGACTAACTCCTTTCGAGTTTATTTTGCTTTAAATCGCCTTGATCAGGAAGGCTGTGATTAAAAAAAGGTTGAATCATTCTCACAAAGCGAGAGATCGTTCGTCCCGTATATATATTTAGCCGTAAGCCGCGACTCGTCGCATAGGCGAAATTAGGCTTAGGCTTGAGGCGTCGATCGCAAGACCACAAACGGCGATTTGGGTTATCTGGCATAATTAAAACCAGCGCTGATATTTAAACAGATACAAAGTTCAAATTGCAAGTCATTGTTAGATGTAGCATGAGGAGAAAGTCTGCGTCGTTGTTTCAGTACAGGTATCTAGATACTTTCAAAAAGTATTGCTATCGGAATGTACTGATTAGATTGTAAATCGCTGTTAATGCAAGCAGGATTTTAATGTTAAATAGTCTTTTGAAAAATTTTGAAATTTTTCATAAAAATTCAGATATAGCCTGTCGTTTAGTTTTGATCCCATACTTCGCTTATTTGGCTTAAATTATTTTAGGTAGAGATATTTATTTCTGTCAGTTGCCAGGAATGTATATTTTTGCAATTAAAATTATGTTATAATTTTGAACAACTCTTTTTGGGGAAGAATATAAAAAAAAAACATCAAATTTTGGATCTTTCAATAAGTAACAACATCTCAAGTAACGCGCTTTACCTCTGTATCTATTGGGGCAACTGATAAAAAAATTAGCTAAAAAATTACGTTTAACACGGGCTTATCTCTCTGAAACATGGTTTTGATTTATAGGTTTCTATTCCAGAATATGGATTATCCTTCATTTAAATTTTGTGATTAGTCGAAGTCATTACAATCTATTATACATAGGCCGCACATAAAGCAAATAAGAATTCCATTATTTTTTGCCTTCATAATAATAAGGCATCGATAATCAAATTTGGAAATGATTAAGGTTTATTTCGGGCGATCAGTCGTTTACGTAACACGGAATTTGTTTGTTTGATTATGTGCGTTTCTAGTTGATAATAAAGTTGAATAGCAGATAGGTTGTGTTACATGTGCGGTAGGTAGAAAAAAAAGATTAGGAAATGTAACGTATGTTAGTTTTTCTTCAAAATTCTTTAACTCAAGCAGTGCTACAGTCATTAGGGTCTAATTTGTACTGTTAAGGAGTGTTGCCAGCCTTGAAAATAGAATACTACAGACAACCCAACCATACAATCGCCCAAAATCCAAAATTGTTAAAATAGGTTACCAGAATATATAAGTCAATAATATCGGTAAAATTATATAAATTACGAAAATACTGCAGCGGGTATGGTATCCGTCAACTCAATGTACATACGCTATTTTTGTTACACGTTAGTGATAGATAGTTCCCATTCCACGATAAGAAATTTATGAAATTTGATCCGAAATTTTACAATAAAAATTCAAAATACTGCAAAAAAATTCCATAAATACTTTTATTGAGATAATACCACCGTTTTATATGGATGACTATAATATGATTTTTTTACATTATAAGCATATCATGTTCAATATTATTACATATAAATAAAAGTTTACAGTCAAATAAAATGTTGTACTTTGTTCGTAGGTTTGTAGGAACAATTGTTTAAAATCGTAAACAAATATTTGGTATAATATATCATATATTGCGTCAAATACGATAAAAGCAAATCAATTGATTGGATTATGTTAAAATTTCAGAACAATTCAAAAATTTGAAAAAACAAAATTTCGTCAAGTTGCATGTTTGTTTATCATTTAAAAGGGAAGGTTTAAGATCATGGTAATCTAATACTCGCATTTTCCTTGGTCGTCTGCCACAGCAGATCGAATTTCGAATCAAATCAGGCTGAGAATGTTTTTGCAGTTGATCTTCGTGGCGTGACTGCACAGGAATTAAAGTAATTTGAATAGCATGTGTTTAAAGTATTGTAAATGAATTTATTGTGCGAGTTTTATTGATATAGAAAAAATCTAGATATAAATTCGCATCAATCATGGACACAGTAAATCGCTCCTCGAGGCAGCAATGGAAACGAACTTGACTTTATTTGTTGGATTATTGTCGGAAGTGTTTACCTAATTATATTTATTAAATATGGCTCTATTAAAAATATTGATTGAATTGTTTGATGCTATGACTGATGACTAATGATGAATTATTGTTGAGAACAAAAGGCTAAACAATTTATAATTATTATTAACAAATTCATTTAAAAATTGTAAACAAACTTTCGCCATTTTAATTAAACTTATATAACCACGTAGATGTTTTTTTTTATGTCGGTCTAATAGAAATGGCAACAAGCCTACAATTATTGTCTCTTGTGTCCATGCATAAAATTCTATCAAAAAGGGTCTTCAATTTTAAATGGCAATTCATAAAAGTTTAGTCTAATATGAACTTACGACGTAAAAGTTTTTTTGTATCATTGAACTAGCTACGAATTGTTCTATGTTTACAGATAAAGCATAAAAATATTTTGTAACTAAAAGTAAAACGACGAAAACAGTTCAATGCATGGAAATATGACTGAATTAACGGTGCCAAAGGCAACACGTGGACCCCATGCTAATAGGGATTATAAGATGGTCGTAGTGGGGCACAGAGCCGTGGGAAAATCAGGTATGGTATATAATAGGTGATTTTGGTGTTTCATTATATTTTCATTCGAATACTTCATTTGCAATGAATTAGTACATGTCTCTGGCTTGACCACATATGCTGGATTACTGTAATTCCAACTGCCTTTCAACTCAAGTCTCAAATTTAATTATATTTCGGAGGTTAGCTTGAAGCATTTAATAATAGTTTTCTTCTAGTTATCTTCTAAGTTATTTCAAACCATAATCTCAGTCTAAAATGTAGTAAATACATTTTCAACATGTTTTTGAGGTTGATTTTTATTATTCTGAATTTCTATTTCCCGAATTGCTCAAGTCTTGAACGAAGTAACAAAATTATGTGGTTATTTTATTTTTCATCATCCTTTTTCATCATGTTATTTTTACTGGAAAAAGATCAAAATTTTCGTGAATTGTATATTGTCCATCAACCATAATAATTTTTGGCAAACTTATATCGTAGAAACCTTTATGAAGAATGCCACGCCTGCTAGGCACGGAGAGCTATAATTGGCCAAGCTATATTTCTTTTCCAAATCTTGAATTAAAAGTCATTAACGGTATACTTTGGGCATGGTAGATCGAAATTAAAATTCAAGTACTCGGAAAGCCTTAATTAAAACTAACCAACTGTTAATTTACTTTAACAGCACTTGTCGTGAGATTCTTAACAAAAAGATTTATCAGTGAATATCAAGAAAATTCTGGTATGTACTTTTTTTCATTCAAGTCTAGACTGTGGAAATTAATTTGTTTGTGGTTAAACTAGTCCTGTAAAATTTTTTGTTTTGATACTTCGATTATAATTTATGAATGTGAGAAACATAAACATAACACTCATACACAGCCCATCCGTTTTGGTCGTTCACAACAAATTGAATTTCCATCGGGGGTAAGAGAGCGACGTAGCAAATAGTATTCAAACGAGGCAAAGCATAAAAAGCCACTTTATTAAAACAGACTTTATACCATGTATGTTTTTTGTTTTTATAAAATAGTAAATCTTAGATACTCGCTCAACGCTTTTGTTATTTGTTGAAGATATATTTTATAATAAATAAACGTTTTGGGCTATGAAGCGTTGTTGCGTAAAACACGCAATTTAAGTGATATTCTATTAAAACATGCGAATGAAATATATGAAACATCAACCGTACCGAGGTATTTGTATAATTCATAGTATCAACGTGTAATCGAAATCAAATTAAATCGCAATTCTAGCTACCAAATTTTTATAATTTCAGTCATTACTTCCGAACTAGATATAATATATAGTAATTTAGCTTGGAACGGTTATCTTGGCGTCTGCTTCGGTTAAGTTATTAGAAACGAGATCGTTAAACTATTTAATTGTAAAAATCTTTCAATTTCAAATAAATGTTAAAAATGTACGCACGCTATAAGTATTTATGTGATTTCTCGTTTTATAGTGGTATGTCTTGTTATTATTCTAAAATTAATAAAATTGAATGTACAAGTATCACCTCAGTCTAATTAAACATATCATAACCATGCGCTGTGTATACATCTGCGTCCTATACTGTATCAAGTTAAATGAGTCGCGCCATGTGGTAGTGACGTCATGTGACGTCACGAGAAAATTTGTGTTTTCGTCTGCTAATTTTCAGGTTCGCATCCGGGCAAACAAGTTGAGGGTTTAATTGCTGTAATTGGTATCGTCGAAAGTGTTACTTTGCACACACGCGAAGAACTGGCATCCTGTTTACACTCCCTATTTCTTGAATACACATAGTGACGTATTCGGTCACGTATTTTTTTTCTATATTAGGCCTTCAGCTAGCTGGGCATTTTTGATTTTCTCGTGAAAATTTTTGCCCCAAATCTGCTACGATCTGACTTTCTAACTACAATTATATTATTTGTTCAATCAAAGACCAACGCCGTTTTGCATGCATGTTTTTACAAAAATCTTAAAAAAAACTTAATAAGTTGACGTCACAAATAACTGGGAATCCTTTTTTTACTTTTACGCGAATACTTTTGAATTTTGTTGGCGTGGTGTACATTAATGAACTTCGTGGATGGTTTGAGAATTAGGTCAATTATGAAACTGCTTAGAGTAAACAAATAAAGTGGGATTCGTGGTAAAATGTATAGTTCGCGGGAAAAATTTCTCGTCAAATGTAGAAAAGGTAGTGACAAGTTTTGATTATGTATTCTCTAATTTGAATTTGAGATTCACTTTTACAAATTTGCAAGGCTATATACACATGCTGTATGCTGTATATAGTGAAACAAATGGTTTGTGTTTATGTAATAATGGAAAAACATGATTTACGACCATGCCAATTGAATCCAGAATGCAAATTGTCTGACACGGCCAAAAATTGCTTCAACAACTTACTCCGGAGTTCACGACGTTGAAGTGACCCTGCGATGAGCCTTTCTATTGATAATCATTCCTGTGCATTTGTCTTGAGCCTTTCTATTGATAATCATTCCTGTGCATTTGTCTTGAGCCTTTCTATTGATAATCATTCCTGTGCATTTGTCTATCAAGAATATAATTCTGCCATAATTCCTTCCCAAAGTATGTTTTTGAAGGTGACTCATGTTATTTGTGTTGTATTATCTTTATTTTAATCCGGGTTCAAAATGTTTTCCATCATACTAATCCACGTTTGTTGTAGGATTGACTTCACGTCATTTTCCCATTGATTTTATGGCAGTTTTCGAGAACCGATAAAAAACGTAAAAAATCTGAATTTTTATGTGATTTAGTATCTCAGCGTTTTTACAATTATTGTATGATCATTTTATTCGCGCGTGAAGTTAAATAATCTCAAATCCTTGGGGATCAAGTAACAAGTCTTGTAAAAATAAATCATTGATACTTTTACAAATTTCGACTCCAAACGGTACTAGAAATAGCATATGGCATACACGTTCATGTTCATTGATTTATGGCACCCAATATAGTACATTGTTCTATTTAAAAAGAATTATTTTTACCAGGATTATGTTCGAAGTTTTTTCAACAGACTGGTGGAAAATATTGTTTTCTCAGAATTTTTACATCGCATGGGTTATTTTTCGTTAGGTATTATATTTTCAAAATATATCAAAATTTTGAATCTTCAAATTATTTGTGGTGGAGAGTTATGTTAATTATGTTAGTTACTGTTTATTATTACGTATAAATGCTATCACGCCAAGAGTCTTGTTTCACGTTCACTTGAAATTATTTTTGTATCGTAAGCGCACTAAAGGAATGTTGTCATTTGTAAGTTGTCAAACTTCTTGGTGGATCTTCAGTACAAGAACAACACAAACACAAGGTCGGTGATGTCATGTGGTAAAAGTCGCTCAGTTGCTTTTCAATTTAACGTACAATCAAGTATGATTAGAATATAATTGAGTACGTTTATTAGGACCATGTGTGTGAGAATTAGGCCTGAAGTTCATTGACAAAGTTTCCATTGACTTCTCATTCAATATGAATCTGCACCTGTGGTACTTCACGAACAAAATTTTTTAGAACGATTGAATTGAATGAGTGGATTATACCAACTACCTGCCAATTATGTGGCATAGATAACTAAAACTCAAGTTTGGAGATTTATTATTTGCCCATACTTAATTAGACATACCCCAATTATTTTATCAATTCGATGATAAAAATTGTCATCTGAGCGTTGTCAAAACAAATAACCAAATGTACGAAGCCATGATAATATTGTCACAACTCGATACGAAAAACTTTTTTGCATTCCATGACATTCTAGTATAATGATTCAGACATTTTTGCTTATGTAATTCTGCTTATTTGCACCTTAACTTCCTTGAGAAAATAAGATATTGATACGCACGTTAACGCGTTACAGCGCAACCAATTGTGGTCCATGGAGAATTGAGAAAATTGTGTTGCCGTATAATCGGCAATTTATCGGTCATTAAGATCGGCGGGTAAAAACTCGCAAAAATGGTAATGAAAATAGAGTTGCAAGGACAAATGCCGTCAATATGAACGTCTTCAATATTTCATCGAATGATTTCAACAAATATTAGCAAAAATTTTAGATTCATTTTTTAAATTAAAGTCGTTATATTTCATTAAAAACTCCCCTTAAATTTGTGCCTTTTTATATTCAAGTATCTCTAAATTGTATAGTATGTTTTTTTACTAAATTCGTAAATTCAAAATCTTGCTCTGTACTAATACGGGGCAGCAGAGAAAACATTGGTGTTCACGTCTCGCTATATATACATAACTCTATTCTGGTTTGAATTAAGCTTATTACCAACTGAAATCGTTGGTTAAAAACACTATAGAACCGTGAGCAGTTAGATCGTATACGTGTTGAAAAAATTCTATCATGCTAAATTGATGGCGATTATTGTCCTCATGAATATATATGTTACATTAAAAAGTTGAAAAACACTCACGATCATAAAATTATCTTTGATACTAATTCAATTATTGAACACGGCGCACGTTTATCTCGCATTTCATGCTCTGTCATGGTGAATAGAATATAAAACAACAAATGTATTAGGATAAAATTTGAATGCAAATCGAATAATATGTATTACTCTCATGCGAATGCAGAAGTAAGATGGACGATGGGGAATAAAATTCTGGGGTTGACAGTTATTGCATCCTGTTATGAAGACGATTGACGAACGTAAAAGTCAAACTGTGTAAACAAACAATACAAATGTCATCAAAGTGCAATTTCATCCACCAGTACGATAAAGGATCATGCAAAAACAGTGCATAGTTTGCTATTGATGTAACTCAAAATTTGTGCGCTCTAGGCATGATCCCATGTATATTTTCAATGATTTTCTGTTGTCAAAAGATGCTCTCTTGGCAGTTTTTGTGGTTTTTCTATTGCGTAAGTAAACGTCATCATGCCAAGGCTAAAGCACTCTAGGGATTATGAAAATTTAGTTAGTGAGCCGTAGGCTCCCTTCCAAGGCGGATTGGCTCAAATTATAAAAGTGTAATTTTTAAATAATTGATAAGCTCCCATAGAATCCCAATTGTTTTAAGTCAAATGTTGGGGCATGGACGTTGGTGGTGAACGTGTCTGCACAAAACTAGTGCAAACATTTTTGGTGCAATATATTGTCATAGAGATGCCATAAAAAAATGAATATTCTGATTTGAGCAGACTTGAACTCAAGTTATTAATTTAATATTATTTAAATTAAAATTTTATGTTTATCAATAAAAGTTGAAGAGAGAATATTAAATAAATAAATAAATAATACCTTATCCACATCAACTACTTAAGCTCAAAATAGAATAAAACTCTCAATTGTACAATATTTACTTTTTTTTTTTTCAAAACAAATTGTGAGGAGTACTCGACATATTTGTATATGGTTAAGTGGGTGGTCATACGTGCAGACGGAAATCGTTTATCTATTGGTGGTGACGTAACACTAAAATACATATTCAGTTCTCTGCATTAAGACGATTATGAAGGCCAAGTGCAAAGCATGAAATATTGTGAAAACATACCGGACACAATTTCCATAAAAAAGTGAAATTTAAAAGTTACCCATGAATATCAAATAAAAATTAGGCTAACATTTTTTGTATTGATATAAAAAATATTTTTGCCATTCTTTGTTATTTTTTGTATCAGAATTGAAAACGCAACATTTTACTTGTTTTTATCATCAAAACAATTGATTTCGTTTCCTTAGAACTATTCTCTTCTAACATTCTTGCTTC